TCAAAAAGAATACTTCAATTAGGAGCAATGATAATGGGAGTTGTTGTCAACTTGAACTTTAGCAATTCAAAGGCTCTCATGCAATCATCATTGAAGTAAAACTTAGCATCTTTTTCTAAAAGCTTGTACAAGGGGTTCACCACTTTGGAAAAATCCCTTATGAAGCGCCGGTAGAACCCCGCGTGACCCAAGAAACTTCTCACGCCTTTCACTGATGTTGGAGGTGGAAGTTTAGAAATCACCTCTATCTTCGCCTTGTCGACCTCAATGCCCTTCTTTGAAATTTTGTGGTCAAGGACAATGCCCTCCTCGACCATGAAATGGCATTTCTCCCAATTCAACACCAAGTTCGTTTCTTCACACATTGCCAATACTTTATCCAACTTTGCCAAGCAATCATCAAAGGAATTCCCGACTACCGAAAAGTCATCCATGAAGACTTCAAGGTAGTCCTCGACCATATCCGTAAAGATCGCCATCATACACCGTTGAAATGTTGTCGGTGCATTGCATAAGCCAAATGGCATCCGCTTGAAAGCGAAAGTGCCATAGGGATAGGTGAAAGTTGTTTTCTCTTGATCTTCTGGGGCAATAAGGATTTGGTTGTAGCCCGAATATCCATCTAGAAAGCAATAGAAAGCACGACCGACCAACCTATCAAGCATTTGGTCAAGAAAGGGGAGTGGGAAATGGTCTTTCCTTGTCACTTTGTTTAACGTCCGATAGTCCATACACACTCTCCATCCGGTAACTGTTCTTGTTGGAATCAACTTTTTCTTATCATTGGTGACCATAGTTATGCCCCCTTCTTAGGGACACATTGCACCGGACAAGTCCATGAACTGTCGGAAATGGGGTAGACCACCCCGGCATCTAACCACTTGATGATCTCCTTTTTGACCATGTCTTGCATGGCTTCATTGAGTCTCCTTTGATGTTCTATGGAGGGTTTGGCATCTTCCTCCAAGTTAATCTTGTGCATGCAAAACGCGGGGCTTATTCCCTAAATATCCGCCAAAGTCCACCCAATAGCTTTCTTCCTCTTGTGGAGCACCGCCAATGTGGAGTCAACCTGCACGTTAGCCAAACAAGAGGAAAGAATAACTAGTAAAGTAGAACAAGGGCCAAGGAATTCATACCTGGGATGTGGAGGCAATGGCTTCAACTCCAAGATAGAGGGCTCTTCAATTGAAGGCTTTGTAGGAGGAGTTTTCCTGTTTTCAAGATCCAAGGAAAGCTTCGGGGTGCATAGTTGTACGACCCCATTCCTTGCAAAGAATTAACACATTCCATGAAGTCATCCATCTCGTCATCATCAAAATTTAGCAAGACAGCCTCCAACATGTCACCCACATTAATCGTGGCACTTGCATCATCAATAATCACATCGGTTACCAAGTCCACGAATGAACACACTTCATTGCTATTCGGTTGCCTCACAGATTTGCACACGTGGAACACTACCTTTTCATCACCCACCCGGAAAGTGAGCTCTCCGGCTTCCACATCAACAAGAGTCTTCCCCGTAGCAAGGAAAGGTCTACCAAGCATAATCGGGACTTCATAGTCCACTTCACAATCAAGAATAACAAAATACGCCGGGAGAATAAACTTGTCAACTCGAACCAATACATCCTCAATCACCACCAACGGTCTCTTCATTATACGATCGACCATTTGTAATCTCATAGACGTGGGTCTTGGCTACCCAATTCCCAATGTCTTGAAAACCGAATAGGGCATCAAATTGATACTTGCCCCAGGATCACAAAGAGCTTTGGCAAACTCGGCACTTCCAATGGTGCAAGGGATTGTGAAAGCACCGGGATCTTCCAACTTAGGAGCCATCGAATGCCCCCTTAGGACGAGAATTTAGAGCTTGAGAGATTTGACCCTATTTACACCTCTAGATTGCGGATCGATGTGTTGTGTGAAGTAAGTTGGGCATCAGAATCGGCATTCTTCTCCATCATTTGTTTGAACATTTTCTCAATACGGCCCATTTCATTGTTGGAAGACTAGGACCATGGGAAGGATAAGGGGGTGGGTTGTTCGGTTGTTGAGACATCGGGGCCTTTGAAAACCCGACCCCCGATTTCCTTGATTGTTGTTCCACCCGCCTTGGTTGTTGCCTCCCCAATTGCCTTGGTTATTATTGTTGTGCCAATTCCCTTGGTTATTGCTTCCACTCCAATTGACTTGATTGTTTCCACCACTCCAATTACCTTGATTTTGAGAATTCCAATTGCCTTGATTGTTTGAAGGTCTCCATTGATGTTGACTAGGGCCTTGGAAGTTGTTTCTTTGCCCTTGAAAATTGTTCACATATTGGACCTCCTCTTCTTGGTCATTGTAAGATTTATTTTGAGCAAATCCACTATCATCTTGCACAAATTATTCACTCTTTGATGCACTTGTGGACTTCTTGTTTTTCGCTTGTTCACCATCATATTTACTCCTTCCATTGCATTGACTTGTCTCGGATTTTGCACTTGTTGAAGTTGAGCCTTTGCCAATTGGTTCATGGTGATAGTCAACTCGGCTATGACTTGTCCATGATCATGCAACTCTTTGTGAAGGTGAATCACGTTGGGGTCACCTTATGGAACATTAGCTCGAGATTGCCACGCCGAAGAAGTATCCGCCATCTCATCCAAGATATCACACGCCTCCGCATAAGGCGTAGTCATGAAGTTCCCACCGGCAAGTTGATTCACTACACATTTGTTGGTTGTATTGATCCCCCGATAAAAAGTTCGTTGAATCGTGTTCTCCGTCATATCATTGTTGGGGCACTCTTTCACCATTGTTCTATATCTTTCCCATATCTCGTGTAGTGGTTCATTGGACTCTTGCTTGAATGCTAGAATTTCATCTCGAAGAATAGCCATGTGCCCGGGAGAGAAGTATTTAGAGATAAATTTCTCCGCTAGTTCATCCGAAGTATGAATGGAATGATTTGGCAAACGTTCCAACCATTCTAAAGCTTTCCCCCGTAGAGAGAAAGGAAAAAGCCTTAGCCTCAAAGCATCCTCGGAGACATTAGTTTGTTTGCTCCCCTAACACGTATCTACGAACCGCTTCAAATGTTTATATGCATTTTGACCCGGTGCACCGGTGAAGAACCCTCGTTGCTGGAGCAAAGTGAGCATCACATTGGTTATTTGGAAGTTGCCCGCCCTAATACGGGGAGGGGTTATAGCACTTGCATACCCTTCATTCGGCAACACCCGGTGTGGAGCCGCTCGTGGTGGAGGTGGGGGTGGAGTGGGTACATTGTCTTGAGGCAGTCGGCCTCGTCTATTGGCCTAAGGTTCAAGAGGGACCTCATCCATTTGATCATCCTCAACATCCACATCCCCACGACTATGTTTCCTAGATCGTTGTTTGTCATGATTGCACCTACAATACTCACACGTTAGTAACAAGGAAGGAAAATAAGATATCCCAAAAACACACCTAAATATATAGCTAACACAGTTTTTAGCTCCCCGGCAACGGCGCCAAAAATTGATTTCGTCCAATTTCACTCCTCTATTCGGGGTTATGAAAACGGTCGATGCAATAATAATACCCAACAAGAGTCAGGGTCGAATTCCGCAGGGAGCTATATGAATGGGAGTTAGTAGCATATATCTTAGCGTGTGAGTTTGTATATCTAAATTTGCACTTCCGCAAAGTTTGATTGTTTAAAAACCTAAATTACACTACGATTGCAATTTAAGACTGAAACTAGGAAATTATTTTTTTGTTGTTTTTCAAATGATATAAAAGGCCTAGGGCTATGACCTTCACCTAGGTGTTTGCCTAATGGGTTGTAAACTTTAAAGTTTGTTTTATTGGTCGGGATGTATTATAGCTATCAACACTCGGTTACCCACTCAATACCTCTTGGTCAGAGAGTGATTTTGCCCAATTTGGCTTTCTCAAGTCCAAATGGGTATTGAACAAAACGGTTGAATAAAAGCTCAAGTCAGGTTTTACTATCTCTAGGTTCAACGTTTAATTGGGCTTATCAATCTCTCGATTGACTCAATTTCTTATTAGCCAAGTTTTCCTAGACTAAGCCTCTCTTTTTCAAGTAGAGACCAAATCAAATAGGCATGAACTAATGTTTGCAACAATTAATTCTTCAAATAAAAGCAAAAACAAGGCTAAATATTAAACATCCAACCATAAACAAGCAATAAATCAAACACCCATTAAGTTTACACACTAGGGTTGGGTGACAACCCTAGTAAAAATCTAGCTACTCATGCTTAAATTGGAAGAAAAAGAAGAAGAAATGATAATTAAACCCATATTGCTAATTAAAATGATAAACTCTATGTTCAAAAAGCTCAAAATAGCAAAAATTACTAAAAAGAGGAAAATGAACCGTCTACTGTAGCAGCTGATGTCAAAAGTTAACCTAAAAATGTGAAACTCTTCTATTTATACCGGGCTGGAATTTTCGAACAAAAATGTCCTTTCGAAGGTTTTGCGGCCGCAAAATTCCGCACTTTTCTTCAGCTTGACAGGATTGGAAATTTGCGGCCGCACCTTGTTCTTCTGCGGTCCGCACAAATGTGACTGCGGCCGCGTAGCTCTTCTTCGGCGGCCGCACAATAATTGTGCGGTCCGCACTTTTGGTGGACTTGAGATGCAGGTTCTCTGAACTTTTGCTCTGACCCAGCTTCGGCGGCCGCACACTTCATGTGCGGACCGCACTTTGAAACATTCTCTGATGGAAGATTCTTCACAACCTACGGCCGCAGATGAGATTCTGCGGTCTGCACTTCTGAGCTTTTGTGCCTGTTTTGTCCTTGAGTTCATATTACTCCTTCTTGAGTTGGATTTCATCTCGGGAGCTCATCTTCCAATATTCCTGCAATTAAGCACAGTTCATCAGTTTTCGGGAACATAATTAAGCGCTTTTGGACTAAAACGAAAGCTAAAGGGCGCTAATAAGTAGTCAAAATCCCCACTTATCAATAACCAACATGATATTTTGGTCTCAGGTTCAAGTTGGGGATATCGAGGCAGCTAATTCATCACACCGCGAATTTTTCAAGGTGTGGAAGAAATATGGAGTACTTCCTGAGAGGTAAGATATTTCTCCTCCATTTTTTCCTTTGGTCTCTTAAGTCCTTTTTCCTGCTTCTGCCTCTGCTTTCCTTGCGATAAGCTAGCTCTAGCATAATTGGTTTTATTGTGATGGTTGTTTTCCTTATAGGAACCTTTTCAATAATTTAGGTATCTGCTGGACCATCAGCTGTTGCATCCTACTGAAAAATACTATCCTCTACGCCCTGAATTGGCAGAGTCCACATTTTACTTATACCAAGCAACCAAAGGTGTATGACTCTTCTTTTTGCCTAGTCATAATTTTGGTTTCTTCAAAATAGTCATTGTTTAGCTTCTAAAATTTGTGAAAAAGACTATTTTCTCAAACTTTCAGTAATACAGTAGTTTTTCTCTTAACAGATCCATGGTACATGGAAGTGGGTGAATCAATAATAAATTCTCTGAATGCACACACAAGAGTTAAAGGCGGCTTTGCCAGCATTAGGGACGTGACTACAATGCAATTAGAAGACCATCAGCATAGTTTCTTCCTGGCAGAAACGTAAGCCTTTTGTATCTTCATCTTATTTGCATAACATATGCAGTATGGAAGCTGACTGATGTTTGATCAAGTCTCCCTCCGAATGTGATGATCGTCCATGCAATTATGGCTGCTTAATTTTCTTCTGATTTCTGCAGGTGCAAGTATTTGTATCTACTTTTTGATGATTCGTTTCTCCTTAATCAAAATTACATTTTTACAACTGAGGGTCATCCCCTGCCTGTTAGACGCAGTTGGCATGAGAGGCTTCCTGAGGCTTATAATCTAAGTAATGGAAGTTCTGTCAAGGTATAATTTCCTTTCCATTAACAATTGTCATTGGTCTGTGTTGTCTAGTTTTATTAGTAAATTTGTTTCTTCTTCTGCTTTTTCTTTCCATGCGTGTTTCCTTAATTTCCAATGGCAAGGGGGTGCATCGTGAGTCAGTCCTTGAAGAGAAATAGTCATATCTGCTGTATCATATCACGAACTTGCACATCTTAATCCTGACCCTTCAGTGTTCATATATCTGCTGTATTCACATCTTTGTAATATTACCTTTTAGTAGAAAACATACAGAGCTTCTAGTACTTTATTTTTATTTTGTATAATATTGGCATGAGATGAGTTAAAATGAAGAAATATGGTCAGTGAGGATTCATACCGCTAAGGCGCCAACCCCAGCTTGTTTGGGGCTGAGGCATTATAATAATTGTTGTTGCTTCTTAAGTATTACCTAGAGGTGGAAAACGAGTGAAGACTTGTGGAAATAAGAAGTTAGTTGCTAATTAGTTAGTAGTTGTAGTTGCTAATTAGTTAGTTGGACTAAAGTGTAATTAGAAAAACTAAGAGGTGTACAAGAGTGATAACCAACTTAGTCTATAAAGAGGACTAAGTCGGTTATCACTGAACATAACAAAAATGAGCTACTGATCTTCTCTTCTCTATTCTTCTTCTCTCTGAATTCAATACTACAGATCGAAGTTCATTGTGCATGTGAGAGTCGTGTAGATGTGTGCTCAATTAGTGCAAGTCGAAATGGTATAAGAGCGGAAATCGATCGATTTGAGTTGTTCTTCGCCTTCAATTTGAGAACTTAGCTGAGTTCGAAGCTTGCAGAGGTACGACAATGGCGGACGATGAAATTGGACAGCTTCCTCACAACCATTCACTATACCTTAAGGATTCAGATTCGCTGGGAACAGCCTTGATAGCTCTCAAACTCACAGGGCCAGAAAATTATGCACTGTGGAGTAGATCTATGAGAGTAGCTCTCCTAGTGAAGAACAAGTTAGGGTTTGTGGATGGAGCCTGTCTCAAAGCTTCATACAGAGGAGAATTAGTGGCGCAATGGGAAAGGTGTAATGCAGTGGTCGTCTCATGGCTTAGTAGCACTGTAGCGGCAGAGTTGGTGCCAAGCATCATGTACGCATCAAGTGCGAGAAAAATCTGGGACGAGTTCAAGGAAAGGTTTGACAAAGATGACCTGACCAAAATCTATCTGATATCTGCTGACATTGCAACCTTAAAGCAAGGTACAGAATCTGTGACCTCTTATTTCTCAAAATTGAAAGACTTATGGAATGAATTAGATATCCTAGCACCATTACCCTCATGTGACTCTGAAGAATCACGCCCATACGTAGATCATTTAGTGAGACAAAGGCTACTACAATTCTTAATGGGGCTGAATGAGAGTTATAGCCATGTGAGAAGTGCAGTGTTGCTGAAAAGGCCAGTCCTTACTGTGAACCAAGCCTATGCAGTTGTAGTGCAGGAGGAGAGTCAGAGGGAATTAGGAGTGGTTGATACAAATAGGGAGCCAATGACTATGTTAGCAGGAAAAGGAAATCAGTTTCTGAAGGGGAAGAAGCCAGGACTTGTCTCTGAACACTGTGGGTACAAAGGGCATTTAAAGGAAAACTGCTACAAGATCATTGGGTACCCAGCAGACTTCAAAAGCAAGAAGAAAGGTCAATTTCCTGCCAAATCTTATGCTAACAATGTCAATGGAGAAAAGGAAGTTGCAATGAACAATCAGCCACAGGGGAACTATATGATTGAGGATCAATACATGCACCTAGTAAGTCTGTTAACAAAGTCATCAATGGAAGGAAGTTCCAACAACACAGCAGGCTCAGCAAACATGACATGACAGGTATAAAGTCACTATTATCTAATGCAAGATCATATGATTGGATAGTAGATTCAGGAGCATCACACCATATCACCTTTTGCAAGGAAGTTTTAGAAAAATTAAGGAGAGTTAATAGAGGAAACAGTAGTGGAGTTCAAATACCTACGGGAAGAAGATCAAAAATAGTACACACAGGAGATGCAACAATACTAGGAGGACAGAAGATTAGGAATGTTTTACATGTGCCTGACTTTAAGTTCAATCTCATTTCAATATCCAAGCTGACTAGAGATTTATGTTGTTCAGCCTGCTTCTACCCTGGTTTTTGTGTGTTTCAGGGACTTTACAATGGCAGGGTACTGGGGATTGGTAGAGAAGATGAAGGGTTGTACATAATTAGAAGTGAAGAGGAGGAAATAGTAGCTGTGGGGATTGGTAGAGAAGATGAAGGGTTGTACATAATTAGAAGTGAAGAGGAGGAAATAGTAGCTGGATCAGTCAAAAAGGAAGAAATAAATGCAGCATTGTGGCATCAAAGGATGGGACATGCATCCACAGGTTCCTTACAATGCTTGCCAGATTTGAAGAATAAAGTGAATCAAGATGTGCAGAAGAACTGTGAGATTTGTCCATTAGCCAAGCAGAGTAGACTGAAGTTTCCTATTAGTAGTCATCAATCTGATTGCATTTTCCAACTTGTGCACATAGATGTGTGGGGACCATACAAAGTAGCTACTTATGACAAGAGGCATTACTTTGTAACCATAGTAGATGACTATAGTAGGTATACTTGGGTCTGTTTGCTACAATCTTAATGTGAAGTAATATTAGTATTGAAGGATTTCTTTTCTCTTGTGAAGAATCAGTTTAATACTACTGTTAAAGTACTGAGATCTGACAATGGTACAGAGTTTTTCAATAAAAATTGCAATGAGTTGTTGTCATCCTTGGGTGTAGTACACCAAAGTAGTTGTCCTTATACTCCACAGCAAAATGGAGTAGTAGAGAGGAAACATAGACACATATTGGAGGTGGCAAGAGCATTGAAATTTCAAAGCAACATACCTACTAGATTTTGGGGAGATTGTGTCAAATCTGCAGTTTATTTAATCAATAAGTTGCCCACAACAGTGCTGAGTGGAAAGTCTCCATATGAAAAGCTCTATGGGAAACAACCTAAAATAGATCATCTCAGAGTATTTGGGTGTCTTTGTTATGCCAGCACACTGCCAAGAGGGGACAAATTTGCAGCCAGGGCAATGAAATCAGTATTCATTGGATATTCAGAGGTGCAGAAGGGATATAGACTGTATGATTTGGAATCCAATAGATTTTTTGTAAGTAGGGATGTGAGCTTTAGAGAGGATATCTTTCCTTTCAAGGCACTACCCAGTGAACCTGAGAATCTGTTCATCCCTGATATTGATTGCTCAACAAATCAACCTAATTCAGCAGCAGAAGCAGATGATGATCCGGGGACAGCCTCTCAGAATACAAATGACCAAATCCACAACACTGAAGCAGATGATTCCAGCTCCTCTGTAGCACTAGATATGTCACTAGATGAGGCAGTAAATGACATAGAGGAACTTGGGTCAGGAGAAAGCAGTGAACAAGATCCTCCACAACAACAGGAACATGAAGAGACTACAGTTGAACCTGTTAGTTTATAGATATGTATAGTGTAGTCTTGTCCCACATTGGAAGAGGAGTAATATCTCCTTGTAGTTTTGTAGTGTATAGCTATAAATAGGGACCTCTTGTATTGTATTTATCATCCAATATCAATAACATATTTTCTCCCGTGCCTTCTCACATGGTATCAGAGCATTAGTGAGAAAAGATCGCTGTGCGTTATTCCAGCGTTAACCGAAAAGAAAGAACTTAGTCATCGTGTAATTTTTCCAGTGACCTAAGGCTTGTCTAAGCGAAAGTCACTTTCTGTCGGTGTTGTGCTAAAACCAACACCACCACGAGGTAGATAACCCTCCGACTACCAACCCCTGAAATTTTATCCGGCAGAAAAGCCGCCACGCTCCTCCACGCGCCGGCAACAACTTTTCCGGCGAGGGTTCCGGCCACTTTCCGGCCATTTTTTCGCGAAGCTTCTTCAGGACAGTGTGCTCTCTTCAAAATTCCGAGCCTTACCATCTAATTCAAATCAAATTCCGGCCACTTTTATATTTTTCTGGCGTGAACAGTGACCTTTCTGGCCATTTTTTGAAAATATTTCTTCAAGACAACTTGCTCGCAAAGGAATTCCGAGTCTATCCATCCTGGTTACAACAAATTCCGACAACTTTGGAATTTTCCGGCGAGCGACAGTGTTTCCGTCGTGAACAGTGTTTCCGGCGCAGAACAGTGCTCTGTTTTCCTGCTGTAAACAGTGTTTTTCAAGCTATTTCTTCAGTTTTCTCACAGTAGTTACTCATTTTCACTATTTCAAGTTAACCCTACTACAAATTGTAGCGACATGGGAACCGATGCTTTGAATAGTC